GTAATGTGAGGTTGACAAGTTCCTTGGACAATATGCTTCTATAACAGTTAAACCAATTTTAAGGTGGTTATAATTACTTAATACTGTTTTTCCCTCCCCAGTGAACTGGGATGGCAAAATAAAGTTCTTGTGCTATGGCATTATCAAAATATAAAGGATTTTAAAAGGAGTCGTTACTTCGCTTTATCTTATAATACACTATTGCATTAATGTTACAATTTGAGGACAAATTTTATCTTATTCGATGGCAGGATTTTTTTTTAATGCTAAGTAAAGGAAAGCGTAATAGCTTGAAAAGTTTTATCTTAAGAAGCTTTAACAGCAAACTCAGTATGCAGAAGAAACTAGAATTCTTCTGGTTTTGGTATACGTGGCTGAGTTCTTGTTTTTGCTTTCAGTCGTGGCAGTGATTTTCAGCTAACAATGCAATGCTATTTTTAAAGGTTTCAGTGGCGTGTGCTTGATGCTATTTCAGAATTTTCAGCTATAAAATCTCTGCCTCAGTTACACAATGAGGCCTGGCCGGGTGCTCTGAGGTCATTCCCCCTTGCACCAAAACAATGTCCCATTGTCAGACAGGGACATTGTGCAGACTGCAGGGTTTGTTTAGGTCGCAGCCGGCCCGGACTGCCTGTTTGTGAGCGCTGACAATGGAGCTGGTGGCCACTTGAACCATTCACACCTGGGACTGACAGGTTCCAAGAGATCCCCCTTCCTGGATAAATATTTTACTCATGGTGGCTGTGCAGGGGGCTGCTTTATTTAGCCTCTGTTCTGTGCTTTGGCAGTGGGAAAAATGCATTCCAGGCTGGATAGCTTGTAAAGCCTCCATCCCATGCATGCTTTACTTGTGTGTGTTGTTTTAGGGGAAGATTTAGCCTTTCTCTTGAAATCAGCATGAGGTTGGCTTTTCTGTTTAATGTTTCCTAAAAGATACATTGGTTTTTGCTCTTCAAGCTAAACTCTAATCCCAAATTGTATGGCAAAAACTTAAAACTCCACTGATGCACAAGGCAAAGTAGAACCCAGCTCGCTTGTGACCACCCATTTTAGATGGGGATGATTCATGAAGAAAATGACTTGAGCAGCTTCAAGAAAACAAAGGCTTGAGTGCAGTGGGAATAGATGGGCAGTGTTTATCCAGTTATTCGTATTTTTGACTGAATTTTCTTAGGTCTCCATGAATTTGATGCCTTACAAGACCCTGAAGTGAACGACTTCCGAGCTAAAATGCGACAAGTCAGTGAGGAGAAGATTCGGTCGCTTGTGGGTCTCTCCTGGATGGACTGGTTAAAGCACACTTACCCTCCAGAACAGGAGCCCGTCATCCAGGAGAGCTTCCAAGATAAGCTCTACAGCGGGAATCTCGTAGTTGCCATTCATTTTGATAACTGCCAGGTAGGAGGGATTATTCCTCATTTAACTGGTTGTTCTTGATTCTGGTGTGAGTTAGCATGTGAGGGATAACGATTTAAATGAAGTAGGGCATTAGTGTTTTGATATGTGCTTTTAAAATGCAAATTCTTTTACTAGAGTGCTTGACTTGTAAAAGGAAATGAGGAGTTCACAGCAGTGAACTGAACTTCTAAGGTCAAATTACATTAACTGATGAAGGGCAGTGCTAATCTGCTATATAATGCAGTATATAATGTGACAGCAACCATATAGTTTGTGTATATTTATGTTCACTACTAATGGGAATGTAGCAAGAGCAGTGTAACCGGAGTAGAAAAAATATTGTTCTATTTTATGTGTTTTCTTAACTATGTAACTATTTTCTAAATTATTTCTTTTTCATTTAAGTGTAAAATGTAATTGGAATTTGGTAGAACTGTTTTGGGCCAGTTTTTGCTGCATTACTTTGCCAGGGATTAGGAGGCAATGTATTCAACACAGCTCTTTTTTGGAATTCATTGCTGAATGTCCCTGGGGTTAATCTGATAATATTTAAGTTGAGAAATATGTTTTTTAAAAAGAAGTTGCTAGTCTCTCAACTGCATATAGGCAAACAAAATACTAGCTGAAACTTAGAATTATCCTTTTGGACCTAGTAGTTGAGTAAACAAACCTCATAGCTTATTTTTAAAGGAAGGAAGAAACTTCAATTTCCACCTAGAATAACAATTTCATTTTATTTTTCTGAAAATGAAGTTGCTGTGATTCTGCTTGAGTCCAGCATTCCTCATGCCCCTGTTTACACTGTAGTCCTCTGTAATAACAGTGAGGGATCAGAATGGGAATACTTAGCCTCTCACAAGTGTGTAATGTGTCTGACTACGTTTGGTATATGTTTTGGCCCAGTTGTGAGGTGTTGATGATTCAACCAATTTTATTTACAAACCTATGTTATTACTGATAGCTGATTTACTGATTACTGACAGCATCTTTATTAACTAAAAAAAAAAAAAAGGCATCTCTAGTAAAAGCATCTCTTACACTGGAGATGCTGCATGAAGGATGAATATGAGGCCTGGGAGCAGCACCAGCTGAAGTTGCCTGCATGCTTGGCTGGGAAAGTTCTTGCTGGTGCAGAATGTACTTGCCTGCTATCTTAATAGCCCAAACTGCTGACATGGGAAAAGCTTCAGGTGCTTCTGCTGCCTCTGTTAGACATTCAAATCTTGATCAGTTCAAATATGAGCGTCTTGAGTGCAAGAACTTGGCTCCAGACTTTGCTACTGCACTTAGTACTAAATATCGTAACAGCAGAAGTAAATGAGAAGAGTTTGGGGCGTGCTGGGTCCTTGGAGCAGGAGACATAAACGCTTGTTGCCTGGACTTCATGGTGAACGGTGCAAGCTGCCCGGTGGCCCAGGGAGCAGGAGGAGGGAACCGCTCCTGTTGCTGTGCCCTGGCTCCATGGGCCATGAACGAGGGGAAGAGGTGTCCGTCCCAGGGCTGCTCTGGGAGGAGAGTGTGTCACTGCCTGACTGCTCAGTATCGCTGTGGTAGGACAAGAGGAACCGCCACGGCTTGGCAGTGTTTCCAAAGGAGGAAGCTGTTCTGGGCTATGCAGTTTTGAAACTGAGGAAATACGGAATTAATTTTGCCTGAATTTATGATTGTGCTTTTCCATTTGAGCAGCTTGGCTGCTGACCAATAAACTTTTGTATAAATAAAGCATGAGGCAGAAGAACGCAGCAAGAGCACCTTTCACCTTTTGAAATAATAGCTTTTAGAATTCCTATGTGTTCAGCAGTGTGTGAATGTTTAAATAAAAAAAAGCTGAATGAACCTTTGCAAAATAAATGTGTGTGGAACATAATGTGGGAGATAGGGGAGACTATCTCGTTTATTTGGGAATTTTAATTGAATTAAAACTTTATTTCATATTAAAAAAGACAACAAAAAACCCACTGACTTGTTAGCTTACCTTTTCAGAGCAGAATCAAAATAAGAACACCTCTGGAAGTGTGTAAATAGCTTCTAAAAGATCTGACCAAAATTTTTCTTTAGAAACGTTGCGTTCAGTATGCCAGCAGTACTGGCTGCGGCCCCTTTCCCTCCAGCTCTCCCACTAAAATGGTGCAACTGAGTATAAAATCACATCAGCAGTTTCTACTGCTTTGCTTCCTGAAGCTTCCCCCCGCCCCCCTTACTGTTGTTGTAGGTAGAAAGAGGATGATTTAGTAGTGGCCAGAAAGAAAAACATAATCAACACATGTAATACCACTAATGACTGTGAAAAAATTCATACGTGTCTTCTCTTCCCTTCACACTGTAAAATGCATAGTTATAATTCAGTCTTCTGAAGCTCAGAATTCAAGGGGGCTCTCTTAAAAGCTACTGAAACAGTTGTTTTTTATAATTAATTGTGACCAGCCCTACATGTAAGGATTTTATGTGCCTAAATCTCTGATTTCTCAGGACTTAAAACACACACATGAGCATATGCAAATTGGATCCTGAATTATGTCTTGTTACATTCAAAATGCTAGTTTATGGTAAGATGATTAGAAACTAATCCTTGATTTTATCCGTGTGAAACAAGTCTTGCAGCTTAGCTGAATGCTTGCACAATCACAAATCAAGAATTAAACTGGTTCAAATGTGGAAAAATTGAAATAAACATGACTTCATTTTATTAGAAACTCCCCAAATACGCTCCTGCTATGTATTGTTTTATAAACTTCAGAAATAATATGAAAATATTGAACTATGTTACAAAAGCATCTGGACAAGGTCCTGAGCAACCTGCTGCAGGTGACCCTGGTTGATCAGAGGCGTTGGAGTAAATGATCTCCAGGAGTCCCTTCCAACCTCACCTGTCCTGTCATTCTGTGGAACATCTGAAGTTAGATTGCTTATTGGGATCTGGGGCTAGTTGATGCTCCTGTAAGCAGTATAGATCCTTAGGGGTGGACAGTTTTGTCATTTTTTCGGGGGATGGCTGCTGCTCCATTTGCAGAGATTAACTTCTGTGCACACTTTTTAGTATTGTAACGTATTTCTGCCTGAGTGGCAAAATTGAGCGCTCTGATCTGAATGGTGATAAAAACAAGAACGTTCAGGTCAAGGTAGCTTCAGCTTGCATAACTGTGGGGTGGTGAAGCGTTTTGTAGAAACCCCTTTGCTTTTGACATTTAACAAATACACTACAAAAAGTTTACAAAATAATCTGAATTATTTAATTTCTAATTTATGTAGATACTTTAGAAAACTGAAGTATTTCATTCATTGTGCATGCTATAATTTAAGCCTTGGATGTCTGATTCAGAGTATGGATATTCAGTATTCCCGTTTGTGTTTTGTTAGGATGTATTTAGTTTTCAGGTGTCTCCTAACATGAATCCCATCAAGCTGAATGAGCTGGCAATCCGAAAACGTTTGACTATCCATGGAAAAGATGATGAGGAAGTTGATCCTGCTGACTATGTATTGCAAGTTAGTGGAAGGCTGGAATATGTTTTTGGTGACCACCCCTTAATTCAATTTCAGGTACATAAAACCCTTGGGAGTATTCCTCAGTGTCACAGTTACTCCCTGCTGCCTTGGCTATAGTTTTTTCTTGCTCTATGTGTCTCTGGACAGAAACCCTGCTGAGCAGTCATGCTTCCTGTCTGCTAATTGCTCCCCTGTGTATTCAGTCATGAAATATAGCATGCATGCCACTTATTTGGTGTATTTACAGTATATGCTTGATTTTTTGCTGCAGGAATATGCAGTTACTTTACAAAAAGTATTTTGCATGTGTTTTTAGTACATCCGCAATTGTGTGATGAACAGGACTCTTCCTCAGCTGACTCTGGTCGAGTGTTGCACCATAAAGAAAATGTGTGAGCAGGAGATGATTGCGATAGAAGCTGCTGCAAACCGAAAATCATCCAACCTTCCTCTTCCTCTGCCACCAAAAAAAACAAGAACAACAACTGTAAGTTGATCTGGAGAATCTCGAACGCTCAGAGGGAACAGTGACTGTTGAATATCAACCAGCAGTGCCTGGACTTGTACTACCACTTCTGTTTTCCAGCGTGGGCTCCAGCGCGTCCGCGCGGGGCTCTCCTCGCTGGCCGGGAGGCTCGCGGGGGAACGGGAGGATGGGAGCTCCTGTCACGGCATCCGGCTAACGTGACCCTTAGTAGGGTGATGTCTCCTTCGTGACACTTCGGTCTATGGAACAGTTTTTGTTGCAAAGGGTAGACATTTATTCAAACGGAGTAGTGTATTTGGAGCTGTTTCTAACTGACAGCAGATATTACTCAGTGTATTTTCTTATTTTGTTTTCATATTTTCAGATGTGCATTTTTTCCTAATCTATTTCCATTTAGCACACTTAGTATGTTCTAGTAGTTATGATAATCTTTTTTAAAAGATCTCCTACTCATTTTTAAATAATCATGCTTTTATTTAACTTATATTGATGACTTTTGCTAAGATGCTTAGCTTGGAAAATAGGTTTCAGTATGTTACATTGATTAAGAGTAAATATTCTTTTGTTTCACTTCTCAGAGTGTCTGGGATATTTGCAACCCATTCAAGATTCTGCTCTTGAAGGGTTATAAACTAAACACAGAAGAAAATGCCAAAGTAAGTAATAACACCTAGTTTGAGAAGATATTCTGTTCATTATCCAGTAATTCTGCAGTATTTGTTGAACTCATCCTGCAGGTTTTAATTCAGAAAAACTGTAGGCATTTCAACTAGTCCCAGGTGTGAGTCTTGTTTATATATCTGAAGTTGAGTATTATGTGCTATTAGTTATCGCAGACAGTATATTATATTTTATATTATGTATACACACTATATATATCTTTATAAATATGTACAATTGTTCCTTTATATTCATATTTTGTTACTAATGTGATATGTGATTTTTTTTTAAGATAGTGTCTAAGTAGTCATGTTGTCGTGGAAAAAAAGGCCTATTTGAGATTTATGCTATAAACAGCCAACAAATGTTGTTTAAATATAAAATCATTTTTAATGGAACATAGGGTAAATTTGCCACACACAAAGTGTAGTCCAAAATGTCTTTTATGTGTCTCTGCATGGATTACATGCTTTTGTTGTCTGTTGTTTGTTTTCTAAACATACTGAACACAAAATAGTACTATCACTTCCTCTAAAATGTACATGGCTGGGCTTCTGTCTGTATTACAGACCACAAGTTGTTAACACATGGAAATTTATTGCACAATTACTTTTAAGACCTTAGAAAGGCCCTTGAAATAGAACAACATTCTTTTCCTTTATTTTGTTTGGCAGACAATTAAGTAAATAGTCATCTAGACAGGAAAGAAGTTCAAAATTAGCCATTGAAGTTGGCTGTCGTCATATTTATTTGGTGTTTTTTTCTTTGAGAATTATTGGTGCCGCCTTCTTATGTGTTAGGGGATACTTTATTGTTATAGCTAAATGAATAATAGTCACAAATTTACTACATGAGTCAACGAGTGTGGAAATAGGTGGGTGCTTTTCCTGTGTCTTAGCTGTTATTTAGCTGTTTGTGTTAGATTTTCTTGACTTTCTGTCGAGTCCTGTGGCTTTTAAAGGGGAGTGGAGGAGGGTGGGTGGAGTAACTGTCATGGGTTTCTTTGTGTAGTGGTGATTTTTTTCGTATGTACAAAAATGGAGCTACAATTAGTTTCACTATGCCTTTAAAAAAAAGAGAATTTTACACTTGAGGAGCAGCACAACTTGTCTATTCCTTAGTGTTGGTCTTTATGGCATATAGTATTTTTAATTAATCTTGAAAACTGGCAGTCCTATGGTTACCCACCAACAAAAAAGGGTGCATAACCTTGGGAGCTCGTGCTTGTTTCTCTGCACTGTCACTGATGTGTCACTGTTGAGAACACAGTTGTTTCCGTCCTCGCTCTGTGTGACTCACTGCCCTTGTTCTTTCGCTTTCATTGTGCTTTGGACCCAGCCAAGATTCATGTGTTTTTGCTGAAGCCACCAGCAGATTCATAAATGCAGGGTTTGCAGGAGGAAACAAAACGTTTGCCACATGAATAGTGCTCTGCCCATGTGTCATTCCTCTCGTTGATGCTTTTCAAGAATGCAGAAGCTTAGAAACATGCAGTTTTCTGTGTACATCTGTTATTAAGCCAGAATGCAGAAGTGAGCCCCTTGGTAGCACTGACCTGTAATGCCAATAGCTGCCGCTTCGCTGCTCTCCCTTGTCCTTTCCTGCTCCTTGTTTCTGTAGTCCAGGTTAGCGGTCTCATCACCTTGTGGGTGCTTAGGCCAAACAGAATTCCTGGGAATTATGCGCACTATTATTATTACAGATGATGCTGATGTCAGGATGAACTACTTTCTGTCCATGCATTTCTATATATAACGTGAAGATCAAGTGTGTATTCCTGCTAAGCTGGAGAAAAGAGAATTTTTTTTTTTCTCTACCTGATGAAATAAAATCTGTTCTGCCTGGAGATTTGGCTTTACATTAGCAAATTCATGTTCTCGATTGTTGCTTAGTTGTCTCTTTCCTACAATTTCCTTTTCTATTAAGTCTGTTGAGTTAGGGGTATTTGTTGGTATTTCTTGTTTGTTCTTTCAGGTATTATTTGTTTATCCTGTGGGGTAATGTAAGGAGTTCAGTATTGAGGAAAAAAAAAAAACTTAAGTAGCATCATTTAAACAAATATATTTTTGATTTGGCTATCCAAATGCAATTTCCTCATCTACTTACCTTTTCAGATCTGAGAATAGCCTTCTGTATAATTAGTAGTCACTTCTGTTATTGAATGAGATTTGATCTAGTAGCTAGTATTGCCGTTTACCAATAGCCACTCCTTTTCAGAGGAGCATAACTCAAACCATTTTTCTAGTCCTTCTTTCCCTCCCAGCTCCCCCAAATTAAGAGCATGGTGACAGAAAATGCTTTTTCCCTTCCTGACTTCATAAGGAAATCGAATGTTATTTGAGATAAAATGTCAGAATTCTTTGTGCAAATCTCTAGGGAACGTCTTGTATCTTATGCCCAGCCATACTTTGCAGATTCCTATTAATAGGCATCTTCAGTGAGTTGGAAGCATTTTGGGTCCAACTCTGTCAGCATTTTCCTGAATTTGCTGCTCAGTAAAATCAGGACATGATCGAAAATCTCAGTTTAGTGCTATTAAATCTGATTTTGAAGTGCTGTAGACTTAATGCTTTAAATGATTCGATTGTAACAGGCAAAAAAAAAAAAAAAACACCTTCAACCTCCAAATTTAGGACAAACTGAATTTTAAGTTCAAATAAGTGTGGCTGACCTTTGGTTTTAGAAATGAATATAACATATTTTTCCTCATATGCAACTGCAGTCAAAGGGAGTGGCGTGTTTGGCAAGTTTACTAGGGAAGCTTTAAAATTATAAAAGAATTTGTACGTGAGCAACATTATTAGTGTTTGGACCTTCTTACGTTTACTGAGGTTATTGTTCTTATTACCATGCTTTTAATTTTCTGCAACTCAAGGACATTAAATGTAAGTTAAAGCAGAGTCTACAATTTCTGGGTGTCTCTGAAATATTTGGGTGATGGGGAGAGGAGTGTAAGATGGGAGCAGAGAGGATGATTAAATGATTCAGCCATGAAACAAGAAAGATGGAGTGGTTTGACATGTGAACCCTCCCTTCCTATTTTCTAGACAGATTTTAGATAAAGTTAGCACAGATTTGATGGGAGTAATTTTCAGTTAGTGCTCTGCAGGGAATAAGGCAAAAGCCACTTTTTTTTTTTTTTTTTTAACATTGAATAAGCTGAATATCTCAGTACCAATTTTGCTACATTTTTCTACACAAAGAATTTTCTATGATATAGAACTTCTATAGAAAGATATTTCTTTCAATTTATAATTATATTTTATTTTAAAAATTTACAATTTACAGTTTATTTAAAATATTGTTTATTAATTAAAACTTTTAATTTACAATAACATTTAGACAGTTCTTATTTTTCAGACTGCCTCATTCTCATGATGACATGAGAAAAGAAACAGTTTTGGAATAGTGCTAACTCTTCCATATTCATGTAGTAGATAGGCCATTTAATTTTAATGTGTACAATTAATTTATTCCTGGTCAAGAACATGAACAGAACAACAAATCAGTTGTTTTCAAAAATGAATTGGTTTGGTTTATTTTACAAACTGAAATTTACTGTTTGTTTTTAAGTTTAAAATACTGCTTAAAGATGTATATCTGTAAGTTCTGCAGAGTTTTCTGTGCAGAATTCTCCAGGTTCTGTGGGTAGGCTTTGCGGAAGCCTTCAAATATTTTTTTTGTGAAAATCTTTACATATTTTCCCTCTTATTTCTTTATTGCAGGTTCATGTTAGGGCTGGTCTTTTCCATGGGACAGAGCTCCTTTGTAAAACAATTGTAAGCACAGAAATATCTGGGAGAAGTGACCATGTTTGGAATGAAACACTCGAGTTTGAAATAAATGTCTGTGATCTACCAAGAATGGCCAGGCTCTGCTTCGCAGTTTATGCTGTGATGGATAAAGTGAAAACCAAAAAGTCAACCAAGACAATGAATCCACCCAAATACCAGACCATTAGGAAAGCAGGAAAAGTGGTGATTATTTTAATAGTTTTTCTTGAGTTTACCTCTGAATTATATTGAGCTGAGTATTCAGAAGTCTTATGTACTCATGTTAGTGTTCAAGAGTGAAAATAGAAAAAAATGGTATTTATAAAGAATGCCTGTACAAAGAGTCACATGTTTCAGGACAAAAAAAAAAAAAACCCTTATTCTTTTCGGATGCTTGCTAGTAAGCCTGTTGGCAAATGACTGTATTTAGAAAAGAATTGTGTTTTAGTTATTCTAGTTATTTTTTTAGGTTAGTTTTGTTCTGAACTCTAGATACGGTAGGGTTTTTGAAAGATTAAAAAATGAGCATGTAGGCTTTTATTCAGGGAAACATGTATTTGTAGTGTGCCACTGTGGTGTGACACCCTTAAAACTAAGTTCTCTTTTTCACTGGGATGTGAGCATGTACTGAAAACTATTTCTGTGTTGTGTTTTGTTTTTGTTTTTTCTGGAAGATGGAACTAGTTTTTTTTTTTTTAAGCTCTTAATTTTACTGATTTTGTAGTAGTTGCTGCATTCTAATATTTAGTGGAATTTTAGTTTCCATTTCAAAAATTATTTCTGTTCACAGCACTATCCTGTAGCCTGGGTAAATACCATGGTATTTGATTATAAAGGCCAGTTGAAGAACGGAGAGCTCATACTGCACAGCTGGTCGTCATTTCCTGGTAAAGTTTAACTTGGAAGACTCAGAATTGAATTACTAATGAGGCCAAAGAAGAGTAATATAAGATAATGAAATATTTAATTTCAGCATCCAAATTCTGTCATCATTTTCTTTGTGTTATGTGGGTTAATGTATGCAGCCTTAATCTATTTTGTAAAAGTCAGTTATTATGTCATAAGGGTCTGTTTGGGAATAGTCTTATAAAATTTTCATCCATTAGAAAATTGCATGAAAACTGAATAATGTCATCTTTTTTTTAAGATGCCTTTTTGGACTTATTGCTTGTTTTTGCATTCAAAAAAGTCTCTGACAAATAGATAAGCTCTTGGATATTTAATAGTATCTTAAGTCAGCAAAAAAGCCCAGGTTATTAGAATTGTTTTAAGGTTTCACTCAATTCTGATTTAGATGGCTTGCTGAAACTGCCTGAAATACACACATCACACCGCATCCATCCACAAGAAATACCATGCCAGCCTGGCTGTATATAGTGATGAAAGAAATCTGGCTTAAAACCCCTTTTGTTTCATACTGTTTGATATAGGGGTAATGTGTGCTGATTGACAGAAACTGAACTCCTCACTGTGATTGAAACTGCATTAGGGGCTTGACTTAGTATGGAGATATCTTGGCTTCCGTTGATTTTGTGTTTCTTTAGGAAAGAGAAAATCTTTCTCATAGGATGAGAATCCAACATTTCTGAGCACGTTGGGGGGGACGGGGGGGGTAGTCTATGCCTGAAATTCAGTGCATAGTGGAGAATGTGCTCTGTGTAGCAAAATATGCTTCTGTATGTTTTGTGCAGGAAGCAGTTTCTTATTTCATCTTGGCTTTTTTGGATTTTTTTTTTTTACTTTATGCAGATTCCTGTTCTGTAATATTATTTTTTCTAATATTTTAGATGAACTTGAAGAAATGTTAAATCCAATGGGAACAGTCCAGACTAACCCTTATACTGAAAATGCAACAGCTTTGCACATTAGATTTCAAGAATATTCAAAACAGCCTATTAATTACCCTCCCTTTGATAAGGTAAGGTACTAAACTGCTGCTGTTGTCAAGCTGCTGACTCTTGTCTTGCAACACTACCTTTTCCCTGAATTCTTTGTTTCCTGCCTTCTAGCTAACATACTGCAGTTGTTGAAACCTGGGCCATATAATATTGTCAATGTCAGTTTAATAGTGTTCTAAATTGTCTAAAATAGCAGTAATTCTTTAACTGGCTCAATTCTTTAGTATTTATCTATTTGGTGAAGCCGGGTTTGAGTTTAGAGCTGACATATTTAAAAATATCTTTTACAGATACTTGAAAAGGCAGCGGAGATTGCAAAAAGCAGTGACAACGCTGCAATGGCGGTAAGCAGCTGCTGAGAGCTCCAGCTGCAGCATTAGCTGCCTTTTATATGTTCTGCATGCATCTATAAAGAAATTAATGTAATAGTTGACTAACTTGCTCTGAGTGTGCGAGTTGGTTCCTGTGAACCTCCTGAGTGTGTGAGTTGGTTCCCTCCACAGGAGGGTTGCATGGGCTGCGTTAGGGACACAGCTCGGATTTCCATTAGTGCTGGAACTGGGAAGCGTTCCCAGCTTGTGTAAAATATTTGCAGGGACAGAGCTCTGTATTATCAATTTTATGGTGGTATCCTTGATGGTCAGATGTTTCCAAATAAATGCTTAGAAATATGGTCATTATTCTCGAACAGGACGTTTCTTAAATTTGATAATTTTATGATCCCGAGAAAACAGGTGGTTCTGAGTTGAAGACAATTTTGGAGATGATCTATAAAATTTGGTGGTGTTTTCTTTAATATTTTTATATTTGGGAAAATATTGTAAAATTATATAGAACACTGCAAACATGGCTTAAGATAGTGAAAGCACCATAGGAGCAACAGTAATAACTGCATTATACATCAAGTAAAAGAAGTTTCTTGAAAAATATGTTAGTCAGTAGTGGTTAAAATGCTCAGGAAGAGGGAAGGCTCACCAGGACTTTTGTTATGAACAACTGACTTTACAAATAACTGGAATTCTTGCATAGCAGATTGTCAGCTTAGTATTGTGACTTCTCATTTAAAAACTTAGTGTTCTCAGACACAAGGATCACATTATTTTTATGACTGTTTACTGTTTATTTTGAAGTAGGAATAATGGGTGTGTATTTAGTTTACCAAATAACCATTTCATTTGTTTAGTACTAGCTAAAGGGTTAGTCTTAATTAAAAAAAAAAAAAAAAGGAAAGGAAAAAAAAAAAAAGAGGGAAAGGCTTAAAACTATCTGTTCTACTTGCATGAGGTATTTTTATATGATAATTTTTACTGAAATGATTTCGGCACAGCGCATGGCTCAGGGACCCATCCTTCCTGGAAGGAGCTAAACTTAAATTGTGTTTAGTTGGTCAGCTGAACCTGTGCAGTATGTGATGTCCATGTGCTGTGTGCTGCTGCTTTCAGACCCAAGTGACTTGTGCTGCCATTTCTCCTGAACTTGTAAAAATTAGTCAGAAACTTCTTTAGCCTTTTTGAAGATAAGGGCAGCTTTAGATTAATGTATTGTTTCCAAAATACATATTGAAACTAATTACTACATCATTATTCAGAAGCAGCAGCTCCTGTTATGTTTCAGTGCCTTTTGGAATTCTCATTTTGGTTATCTCTTTATATTTCTGGCCTCGTATTCTGTACAAGAGTACGAGTGGAAGTAAGCCAGTGTGATTCTTAAATAAAGATTCATTCATGTAATCAGATTTATAGAATCAGTGCTATTAACATTTCAGAGAGGAAAGCAACCAAAATCATGTCTGGAAAAGACAGGTCTGGATTAGAAGATGAAAAATGTGCTTGTGCGAGTAGCAAATGTATTTCCATTTGTTTAGTGCTGGAGAAGTATCTTTTGGCGTTGGACTGGAGGGGGAACTTGCTGTGTATGTATACGAAGAAAATTTGCTTAATTGAAAACCAAAAGGAGAAAGTAGATTCTGAATAAATTCCCCATCTAGAGTTGGAAAATGGAAATATTGCCATCTAGTGTCATAAACTCTAACAGCTAGGTATTTTTTCAGAAACTTCTGTACGCTGAGCTTGACTTTATTAGAAATCTATGATAGGACAGAAAGGTATAATAGGCATTCCCCTGTGTGCCTGGACTTTGGTGTGATGTTTTTTCTTTTACAGAATTTGTAGTATTTGAGGTAAATGTTAGAATCTTACGAAATGTATTGAGATGTTCTGCATTTCTCTTTTTCCAGGGTCGAGGTGGTAAGAAGTTTTATGTTGTGCTGAAAGAAATAATGGAAAGAGATCCCTTATCTCAACTCTGTGAAAATGAAATGGACCTTATTTGGACGTTGCGGTATGACTGTCGCGAGAGTTTCCCACAATCACTGCCCAAACTGCTGCTCTCCCTGAAGTGGAACAAGCTTGAAGATGTTGCTCAGGTAAGGGAAATGATGAAGAGGGTGGGAGAGGAATGCTGCAGTCAAAGCATGAGGAAATTGGGAGGAAGAGTGTGTGTGCTTTATTTTATTTATTGTTTCCTAGCCAATCATAGAAATCTTGAAATGGTGCAGTGAATTTTGGCTTATAAAATAAGGTTGTGCAACTTCTGTAGTATGGACTTGTAAGCAAGAGCTTACTCTAAAAAACAAAAAAAAAACAAAAACAAACAAAGTTCTGAGATCCTTTGAATGATGTGAAAAGCCTGTAAATTACTCATACAGGCTGATTCGAAAATCCCGAAATAAAGTTTGGTTAAACTGCTCCAAGGCCATTCAAATCCCTGTCTTGAATTGGGTAATTAAACCTCCTTGAAGCAGCTGATTTTGCAAGAGCTGCAGTGCACACTAGGGAGAGCAGGGGCCTCATACTCCTCAGGGAGGCAGTCTGACCAAGTAGGTCCCCCTTGAAGAGCCTGTGCAAGTAATTAAGGGCTTTGAGTTAATTGTGAAACAAGGTTACATTTATAGTGCCAGTTTGCTAGCTAGCTGTGCAAGGGTGTTTTGTTATGCTGTATGGTGTCTGGTGTGTCTGTATTTTTTATTTTTTTGCCTTGACCCAAATAGAATCCACATCTGAAATGCTTTTTGGGATTATCAAAAATGAAATGTATGGGAAGCTGCTGCTGCTTGATAGACTGACTTAAAAGTCAGGTTTGTGTATTTGTATTGGAAGTTTTGACTCTGTGCACACAGCAAGCTGAGCCAAGCTGTACAAATGTGGATGGTACCAAGGGACACGGAACCGACTGTAGGGGAGAATCCAGACCTTGTGCTTCGTCTGCCCACCCTGACACTGCTGCGCTTGGAAATGAGGCACAAGTGTGTGCAGATTGTTAGACTGAGATAATAGTTGGGTTGTTGTGAGAAAGTGATTTGGACATTTTTATAATAATTTCTTCCACTGCTTATTTGGAAGGAAAGCTATTTTGTGAAGTTTAAGCTAAAAAGCAATTACTGTGCAAGATTAAGGTTCATAACATACATCCGTGTTCTTGATTATTATTCTGACCTTTTTTGGAAGAAAAGGAAACCACTTGGTGAAAACCCTAACTTCCATCTATTCATCATAGGATCTTTGTGATTGCTCAGACTCACTCGTCGTTTTTGCCTCCAGGATAGGAGGTTCTACTAAATCCATCCCCCCAATTAGACACTCTGAGAACTTGCAAAATAACTGGATTTTCATCTGTGTCAGTGCAACGAGCACTACACTAATGAAACACATGTTTCTCTCTCGGGTTTTTCATATGCAAGAATTCCCTTGTTCTTAATGAATTCTTGTATGTGCTTCTGAATTTTTTTGTTTATTATTAAGTTATCCAGAAGTTTGAATTGTAAAAATATAAGCAGGTATTTGTCGTTTAAAAATGTTAAATCTGTTACTGGGGCCTTTGAAAATAATTTTTTGAAAACTGATGTCAAATATAGATAATTTACAGCTTAAAAAGTGCTTTAAATTTGGGAATATCGATGCAATTGTATAAAGAATTTTATCAAAATTAATGGCTGAAAATAGCCACGTTGCTTATTCCTGGGTGCTCTCTGCAAGGCCTGTTTTTCTGTTTCTTTGTGACCAGACAGTAGTGTGGTGTGCTTGAATATGATTTTGGGCACTAGTGATAGGCTATCTCAATTCTGAAACATGCCCAAGTCATTGAAGTACTTCCATTAACTTTTCCTGGTGAGGAAAGACAGCAGTTTTTTTAAATGGATTTCCAAGCTGATATGATTTATGCTTTACCTCCTGTTCATATTCAATATATTGAGTACTAGCTAGACATGTGCAGGGATGAGGGATGTGCAGCCAGTTGGGCTGCAGTTTTCTCGTAATAAAAGCTCCAAGGCAGGATGTGAACAGAGCAGTGCATATTTGGGAGATTTTCTTAGCCATCTCACAGGTCACATCACCTAACGATTTCTCCTTTCAATCATCTCTGAAGTAATTTTAGCAATTGAGTGGTGGTGCAGTCAGAATGAGATTCGTCCCTTCAGATATGCTTCATGATGAATGTTCATGCCCTAGACTGACTTTCAGAGTTCATTGCCTACTTTGTGGCATGCCATGCCATGCCCCAGAAACTGATGAGTTGATTGTTATAACCCATCATTTACAGAATATTTCTGTATTTTTTTCTGGACCTGAATTCAAGTGGGTTGTCTAGGAGTCCTGCTCTGTTTGTTTTGAAGCTTCTTATTCTGCCTCTGGCAAGCATGATCGCTGTTTGCAGTTTCAGCATCTGTTTTATGGTATTGTCTGTCAAGGGTTTTTTGTTTGTAGGTTTTGAGGACTAATACTCCGTGATACGTAGGTGCTGGTGGCTATAGTGCTTCTTGACATAAGGACTGGTGCCACTGATCCTTCCATGCTTCGGATTAAATAGGTTTTAAGTGCATATTTCCTTGGAAGAGGACATCTATATTCAGAAACATCTTTCATATCTTGATGAATCCTGCCTGTGTTGCTTCAATAAGTGTTGGCTCATGAAGACAGTTGCACTGATTCTTTTGTCTCTTTCTGGAATTTTAACGTGGTTACTGGATTTGCAGTTTGGTTGATTTGTACCTTTTTCTTCTGAAGTTCACAAAACTGCACAGATGAAGCAGTTTAGAATTTGGTCCCTTTAGTGTTTAAACGGCATTATGAAACTGCATAGTAAATACAGCCTAATATTAAGAACTTGTATATGTTTCTCATACTTGAATTGGAAATATTAGTTGCATTGTGACATAGAGCAGAAATTGGAGATTTTCACTATGAGTGTAAAAGGGCTGCCAACTTGGGATAAAACTACTAAGGTCATTTTAATCATTCAGATGTTAGATTTTTGTCAGTTAAGTAAAAATGCATTATCAAATTTGTAGGAAAGGAGGTTTTTATAGTGAATTATGACTACTACTTAAGGAAGAAAGATCTTGCACTATTGATACTATGTTTGCACACGCAGACTTGTTGATTTTCTCTTTGTGTACTGCTTTCAGTCATAGGACTATGTTATTAAATATGCCTGGATACTTGTATGTGTATATATACATACACATATATGTACCTATGTACAGATATTTCCTTAGTGGGTAACTTTGTTAATAATTCGGTCTTGTGAGACCTTTACATATTTTTATTCTTAGTGATCTGAAAAAAATACACGAGTGTATCTTCCAGCACATTGCTGTTTTTGAACGTTAGGATTTATTTCATATCTAAATCGAATAACCCTTTCTGCAGTTTAACCCAATAGCTATTCACAGTGCATATGGGAAAAGGCCGTACCAGTTAAGGAGGCTAAATATTTTTGGTAAAGACTTCTCTAAACAAAACTCTTTACAATTTTTTTTGAAAAAAAAAAAAAAAAAAAAAGAACATTACCAAAATATTTACATATATTATATATGTTATGTATATTCATGAAAGCTTTAACAAAACATTCTTTAAATTTTATTGAAACTGTTTATAAAACATTTGCATGTGGGGTTACCTAATTTTTGTTTACTGTGCACCATGTCTGTGTATGAAGAAATGAATTTTTCTGACTAAATGTAAATAAGACCCATTGCCAAAACAACGTGGATAAATTTAAAGGGCAAGTAACTTGATCAGAAATGAGACTTTTTTTTTGGTAAGTCGATAATCTCCTTCTGTTAGTATGAGTGCTTTGTCCAAATGCAGCTATGCTTGTTGCTTTCCTAGTAGTTACTTAATGTGTAACCTAATATTTTTCTTTTTAATAAAAGCTTCAGGCTCTTCTTCAGATATGGCCCAAACTTCTGCCTAGAGAAGCGTTAGAGCTGTTGGATTTCAATTACCCAGACCAGTATGTGAGAGAATATGCAGTGAGTTGTTTAAAGCAAATGAGGTGAGTATGTGCTTTAGTTCAGGAATTGTTGGGGGCAAAACATAATTCTGTTTGTCAACAAGAAAAGGACCCGAAGGAGAAAGGTTTCAGCAGGCTGCCTGCCACATACAGGTGCCCAAGTAAAGCATCTTTTCTAGATAAGTAAAATGGCAGCCAAATAAAACTGTGTTATTCTGCTGTTCCATACTATTAGGAGGACACAAACCACGTATTTTTTCTTGGAGAGGGCTTGTCTATTCTCACCTTTTCTTGGCCAAAGGGAAGGCAGGACTGTGTGTGAATATTTTCATAATGAAGGGATAAAATATTACAGGAATCAGGTAATAGAACAACTGCCACCCAACCACCCTTCACTCACTGTCAGCTCTTATCTGCATCATTTAATAGAAATGTAAGCTTTAGCTTGCGATGATAAAATGAGAGAACTATTTGTTCTTTAGGGTAGGCTTTGCTATCTGCAGTTCTTACTTTATCATATATAATTTTGCCATTCACTGTAACCTGAGGCAAGGTTTGTTTAACCTTATCATTTGCAGTATTACTGCTTATTTCCTGTCCTTGAATTCTAAATTCCCTATGGTGAATAGTTTAATGATTAATTTTTTTATGGTCAAGGCTAGGTTTTTTGGAAAAAAAAATATTTTGACTTCTTTCAAATGTAAACAAGTAATTTAGCTGTTGGGCTAGCCTAATAATGTTGAATTGTTCCATCTGGAATTAGTATTCTTAGTTCCATCTCTGAAGCAAAATTATCTTCAAGTGAGTATCAAAAAATTGATTTCTGAGTTTTTTAAAAAGTCCGCTGAAGCCAGCTGATAAAAACTGCAATCTAAAGGGGACACTTTGGGGATCCTTTCCTTTAAGGTGTGATGGTCGTAGGGTTCTGTCAGAGGCAAAACTGACTGATAAACCAACCTGCCTGGCAATTTTGCACTCAGCTGTGCATTATTTTTCTTTGCCATGTGACTAAAAGACTGTGACACTTTGGCTATTGAAACTAGGTCTGTTATAGTTGGATTTGTCCTGTGCCTGTGGGTTCCTAGCAAGTCATTCATCTAAGTCCTATGTTACTAACTGGCCTGATGTGCCTCGTTCTAGTGATGAAGAGCTCTCCCAGTATCTTCTTCAACTCGTGCAAGTCCTGAAATATGAACCTTTCCTGGACTGCGCGCTCTCCAGATTCCTCCTAGAGAGAGCCCTCGCTAATAGGAGGATAGGGCAGATGTTGTTTTGGCATCTAAGGTAAGACTTCCTCCATTCCCTCTTGCTAAACCTGTCATGGTTGGAGCTGCAGTGGGCAGATTTTTGCTGTGTTGGAGCTGCAGTGGGCAGATTTTTGCTGTGTTGGAGCTGCAGTGGGCAGATTTTTGCCTATAAAAAAATGGTTGCAATCTTCTTGGATTCCTTTACATTTGGCATTTATACATCAAAGGAAGCCTGTAATTAAAAATATAATGTTGTATTTTGCCATCCTTTGTCTGAAGGAAGTATTCCAAAGTGCCTTCAGCCCTACCTAACTGATTAGTTGCGTATGAATTGAATCTTGATGTTTTCAGCTGTGCATGCAGTGAGAAGACAAAATGCATACTTCTCACTGGGGGGGAAAAATACATATTGAGAGAGTAACAGAAAATAGAGTCAGCTCAGTGGGTAGTTGCTACCTTTTAAGGACCCAATCCATGAGTGGCAGATGCCTCGTGGCATGGGCTATAGCTTGATTCTGCACACAAAATGCAACTGCTTGTTTTAATGTTTTCAAATTAAAAGACTAAGTGCTATACAAAAATGCATGACTAGCATTTACTGTGATGTACAGAGGCTTGTTTCAAGTTATTCTTCCTCAGGAAACTATTTTTTTCCCTTATGAATATTAAGATTACACAGTTTAACAGAGCCCTGCCTCCCAATATCATCATTTTTAGCTTATCAGTATGAATTTTTGCAGTGAAAGGGGTTCCTGAAAACAAATATCCCATCACTCCCTCTGAAGACCGTTGCTTCTAGAGCAGTTCTAAATCTCGAAAGAAGTGGTATGCATTGAAACTAGGCCTTTCTTGTGGTCCATAAATGTTACATTATATTTATTAAATTTGCCTTTTATTTTATCTAACTGACAATGAGGTGTTTAGTTTTCAGTTATTTTTTTCCATGTTAATGTCTTAAAGAATACAAATTTGTAAAATGATGCAAATGAGCAGCTTTTGTCCCGCTTTGTTCCCCCAGGTCAGAGGTTCATATCCCTGCTGTTTCGGTGCAGTTTGGGTTGATCCTGGAAGCTTACTGCCGAGGAAGCGTTGCGCACATGAAGGTGCTTGCCAAGCAGGTAGGGACTCCCCCTGGCCTCGCAGGCTTCACGTAGCCAAGTTTGTAACTCAGATAATGATCCTGTTTCCCTGAACAAAGTTAGGTGTGAGGGGAGGCAAAGGAAAGGAGGGAGAAGGAACTGGCTGCAGTAATGGAGCCGCCTGTGGCACAGAAGCAGTCAGCTCTGCTGGGCTTTGAAGAGCAGGACTGATGCACAAGTAGGCAGGAGACGGGTGCTCGGGGCAGGGCTATCTGCAGAACTGCTGGAAGAAGGACCCTTAAAGCTATTTTTTTTTCCTTTTCATCAAGAACAGCTCGTTTAAGAGAACCTGTTACTTGTTTAATATAAACTTCAGCTAGGTGACTGCAGGATTACTCCCTATAGCTTTAGTTTTTGTTAAAAAGTGGTGATGCACACAAACTGAGTTTGTGCTGTAATGTAGTATTCCCTGAAAGTCAAGGTGTTGAAGTAAAGCAAATATTTATTTTAGTGCTAATGTAGATGTGTCAGTCAAAGGGAAGAGGAGAGTGGTTTGCTTTTCAATACACACTAGTACGTAAATGTATTGGCAGGTCATTAATAGACACACTCAAAAATCTTCTTCTGAAGGCTCTAATACAGTTTTAGCAAATGTAGTTGCTACAATAAAATCCATGAAAAGAGCTCTCAAATTAATCAATTTCCTATATCAGCTAAAATAAAGCCACAAAAAAAAATACAGCTGTTGTGTGGTATCTGACAGTTTATGGCAGTTCTGTCACTGCCTGTATCGAAACTGTGCCTCAGGGAACAGGAGAGGAACGTACCACTTGGCTCTTCACTACTGCAACTCGTGGGGCATTGGAGAGATGTCTCTTACAGAAGTGTGCTTGTTAGTATTGTCAGAATCGTGAAAAGATGAGGTGATGAAATGCTTTAAGTAATAGACCTGAGGTCAGTAAAGTTTTTGTGCACTTCACAGGAAACAAATGTCACTAGAATCAAAGAAGGGGCAAAAAAATTCCCAACTGTGAAAACACGGAAGAAATTCAAAGTAGAAATACTTCAAAAAGTTCCTGTTTGCACAGCACAGGTTCCATTTTGTTCCCTTGTGAGTGGTGTTTGTACAGCTCCTAGAATAGTGCAAGAGCAGAGCGCGCTGGGTTTGGACAGATGGCTGACCTGGCAGGGCTCCCCTGCCTCGCTCTCACAATCAAACTGCATTCAATTTCCCCAGCATCCTGCCTGACACGGTTCAGGCTGTCTGTAAAAGCGGTAGGTTTGGACTCAGCACCTTGCAAGATGGACTGAAGCTTCCTTGTATAGAAATCAATATTTGCAAGTATTACATTGATACTGTGTGAGAGAGAATATGCATCCTCCTGAGCATATTAACAGTGGCTCCTTTAAGTATGACTTACGACTATTTTATAATCAGCTAACAACTATCTTATGTAGATGCAGTGTAGAAATGATAGAGATGATGTTTGTTGTGTGTGCAGTAGGTTTGTTGCCAAGATGTAGAAATGATAGAGATGATGTTTGTGTGTGCAGTAGGTTTGTTGCCAAGGGGCTTTGCTGTGCTAATGTTATGTCTGTTTATGTGTGTGCAGCTAGTTTGGTTGTTTTCTTTCATGCTGTGTACCAGTAAGAACTTTTCAAAACAGGAAAAGGGGAAAGAAAGGGCTAAACCCACCTATATTCCTGTAAATAATTGCCTTATTACACATTGAGAAAGTATAGCTTAGATAATACATTATGATTATGAATGGCCTAATTGATTAGAGTTTCTGAGCTTACTGAGGAGAGCTGACTTCAGTATGAATAGTAACACCGTTAGGTGCTCTGTTGATTTTGTATGTGGCCGAAAAAGGACTTTGTATTTTGAAGAAGGAATTTGTATAAATGTTTTGTACATGAAAAGATTTCATATACTTTTGGATAATATTAAGTCTCACTTTCAAAAGTGACATGAATTTATTGTACTTATTTTTATGATTACTACTTAAAAGTGTAAGACTTCTAGGCATGAGTACTTTAGTAAGATTATTTGATGCCTTGGTTAACTACTTTAAGATTTGTTTTGAAATGGGATTTTGTGCATCCTGTTGTGTGGGATAACTTTTAAAAATAATCTCTTTCAGGTGGAAGCCCTTAATAAAATGAAGACTTTAAATAGTCTCATTAAGCTGAATGCCATGAAACAAAGCAAAGCAAAAGGAAAAGATGCAATGCACACGTGTTTGAAACAAAATGCATACAGGGAAGCACTTTCTGACCTCCAGTCTCCTCTGAATCCTTCTGTTATACTTTCAGAATTACAGTAAGTTAGGAGTAATTGAATCAATACAGCTCACAGTAGCCTTTTTAGGGAAATAGTAAATCAGAAGGTACATATGCTCTAATGTCTTTTGACTGTATTGTTTAGCAGATGTGTTAACAAGATGCCTTTTCTAGGGTGAGAGAAAGTTTATTGGGTATCTTGTCAGCTGTCTGAGCAGATCTTCAGCTTATTAAGGTTAAGATATGGGTTCAGACTGAAGATATTTGCAGTTTGCCTTATACTTAATGCTCTCATAAAAAAACATACTTTTAAATAAAAGCCTAAAGTGAGTTAGACTGTGTGAGTTAGACTGTGTTCTTGGTTTCTGTTTTCACAACAATAAGTACTGCTCCCCACCCTCCTCAAAAAAAAACAGCACTTAAACATAAAACTCTAAAAATAGGTGCAACAGGATGTGAGGAAGATTATATATTTTCTCTGAAAATAATGCATGCTTAGTTTAGATTTAAGATGAATGTATGCCAGTCATCATGGTGTCTATAATTCATCTGATATATAACGAGTATGTTCGTTACTTGATAAGCACTGAGAGCACAGTAGCATAACAAAAGCAGAAATAACATTTACGTACCTCCAAACTGGAAGTACTGCATTTTCTATTCTGCTTTGAACAATGTTTAATGCTGTTGAGTTATTTTTATTTGACTAAAATCTGCGTTATGTTTTCTTCTAGTGTCGAAAAATGTAAATACATGGATTCTAAAATGAAACCTCTGTGGATAGTGTACAACAATAAAATGTTTGGGGGAGATCTTGTAGGGATCATCTTTAAAAATGGTGATGGTAAGAAATGTCAACAATTCAATAGTTTTCCTTCTCCTCTTAAATTCTCACACTTATGCTCTGTTGCTCTGTGTTAGCATCGTTTAATCATGCATTATTCTAGCACCGATGAGCAAATTTTCTCCCGTTTGTCTTCCAAAGCATACACTTTATTGGTCAGGTAGAGTGATAAAGACAGTAGACAGTTTCCTTACAGTAAAATCAGAAATTGATGTAATGTTTTCAACTTTTAATTACAGATCTCCGGCAGGACATGTTAACACTCCAAATACTGCGCTTGATGGATGTACTTTGGAAAGAAGCTGGTCTGGATCTCCGGTAAGGGTCTCTTCTCAGGGCTTGTTTATTTGGAAGGAGAATCCACTTCTACCAGGAAAGCTTTTCTGTTTTTTAAATCCCTCTTCCTAACTCTTGTCTTTCTAAACTTATGTAGTGATGCACAAAATTTCCATTGCCAAGGTGAACAGGCTGGAGAGAAGTTACCTTAACTCATCACGTGGCTTCTCTTTGCAGTGCAGTTTGCAAATGGCCCACATTACAAAAGAATTTAACCTTGAAAAGAAATATAGTGGAAGATGTGAATTGAAACATTGGGGATTTTATTTATTGTACAAACAGGATGTTTGTCCTGGTGCATCATATCTCTTATGGTGCATATAAGTCATCACACTTATTATAAACTGCACTGTTATTTCTGGTATACCATTTTCTTCTTTTGAAAGTCATCCAGATAAGAAGGCTTATATGAGGTAAAGATAAAATTTTTGAGTTAAGGGTGCAGGCAGGCTTTGACTTTTGTAGTGTTGAGAGTGATCTTTCCCAAATGAGGGGTTCTATCAGCTCCTCATGTAAGAAACTTATCTGTTAACTGGTGTTGGTTTTTCTGCCATAAGCACAAATGGGAGTTCAATTAGCAATCAAGGGAATTCAGTCCTCCTCTAGGTTCTAATACACATCCTCGTGGAGTACCAATCTGCCAGCCAATGAAGAAGCATTTGTGCAAAGACATTTCATAGTCTGATGCTTGAGCACTACTGCCCAGAAGATAGCTGCTGAATTCCTGGTCTAGATTCTCTAGTACGTAGCTCTAATAGGCCAATCCTCTCAAGCAATCAGAAAATTTTAACTATTGGTAGATTTGGGGGTGGAGGAAGTGCGGAAGATATGGGCACTGGTACTAGGTTTGGGAGATTTGAGATTCCTCATAATAGAATATACTGTCAGATTGAGAGCTACCAGATTTGTGGACGACCCAAGCAATCAGAATCTTTTTTTCCTTTTTTCTTTTGCCTCTTCAACCCTACTCGTCTTTTCTTTCATGCAAAAATATGGTTTTTGCAGCCATGGGCACAAGGGAATGTATTCCAGTCCAAATAAATTTCATGCTTGATATCTATTTCTAGGAAAATTTAATAGAGAAATGTCTGCCTTCTGCATATTAAAAACAGAAGGGCTTCATGAAAATGAGAGCAGGAGAGCTGCTTATGCTCCTGCCCTAGGAGGGCTGCAGCAAGATGGAGATGATGCTGGAGTAGTCAGCATTGTAAATCATGCCCGACCAGCCTCATTGCCTATGTTAAAATGACTTGATTTGAGGAAGGGGGAAGAGTAGCAGATGTCCTTACTTGGCTTCAGCAAGATTTTTATCACCATCTCCCAAAATATGCCTGCCACCTGATAATTTCATTAATTACTACAGGCTGCTGTGTTCCACTCTTCTATATTGATTTAACTGTTTTCTTTTTCATAATTCTTATATTTTTTCTCTTGCCTCACTGCTGAGGTTTGCCATGGTCAAATAGGTTTTTGTTTGTGACAGACTGAGAAAATACTTTCAGGTGCCAGTTAAGTAATGTATTTATAAGCCAACTCTTACAAAAATCAGTGGAGGAGAAGTGTAAGAGAATCCTAGTATTTAGTAGTACGGAGACTTTCATGGTATTGGTGTGATCTGTGAGATTTTGTTTTTAAGCAGAAGCTTCCATTTCTGCTTCCTCAGAGCACGCCGTGTGAGAATGTAAACTCATAGTAGGAATGGAAACTCATTATCTAATAATTCTCTCAGGGCAAAAGTACTCAGTTCAGTAAGAGTCTTCTCATTTGCACTGCTGCTTCTGCAAAACCAGTTCTTTCAAAATGAAGCAGCTAACTTTTCCAAGCTACTGCCAGCATAGGAATTTGCAGTGTTTGTGAACATGTTAGATAATCATGAAGAAGGTTGTGAGGTTTTCATTTCTTAGTTCCTTTGTTAAGCCTCAGGGGTATGTGTTCTGCCGTGGAGGCTAGTCGTTTTTTAATCCGCTGGACAAGCAGCAGTGAACTAGCTACTTTATCTGATAGCCACTTCTTTTCCCTCTGCTGTGAATAGTCCTCATTTCAATTTACTGCTAAAGACCTACAGTCAATGTGAGCGTCTTTAATGTGTTTCTTAAGTCCCACTTAGCATTCTTTCCTTGCTGAAACAATACTTGGATATCAGAAAACAATTTTCAGCCAGAAATAGCTTTCTGTTCTCCAAAATCTCTTGCAAAACAACTTTCTTTATATGCTAGCATAAGCATGACTCCTTTGTAGGAATACTGAAGTTTTGGAAAAAGTAATAGCATCAGGCAGCGTTCAACATTTTAATGCAACCTCTATCAAGAAGGGAGCTTTTCCCCAGTCTGTGCACAATTTTTGCCTAATACAATTCTCAAGTCTAATTTTCTTTAGAAATACAGTTCTAAAGAAATAGTGGAATTCACATTTTTTAATCAAGCATTTGTAGGCTATAAAGGCAGTCTTGTGTGCTTGTGCCACACAGAGCGCTAATCCTTTGTGCTTTGCAACTTTAGTGTTGTTTATAAGGCTAGTAGTACTCATCTCATTTTTTGGAGATGTTTCAGTTGGCTTCTGGAGCTTATCTTTTCAAATTTGGTTGAAGTGTAATAGTGTTAGTTTCACAAGACACATAACATCAGCCCACACAGATAAGAAAATTATAAACTAGCTATCCATCAGGAAAAAATGCTACTCACAGAAAGATTCCTTCTAACGAAGTATGGAATATAGTAAGAATGTGAATAATAAATTGCTTCTGGAAGTGTACGTTTGCTAAGAGGTAGCTAAATGTTCGGTTGCAGTTAAGTTGAACGTCAATTTGAGGGAACTTAGATAATTTATGTCATTATAAAAAGACTACGAGGAGACTGAGGCAGCATTTCGGGGCAAGGACAGCCTCTGGCAGCCAAGGAATCCCGCACGAGGCATTCTTTTGGTTGCTGCCTTCCCCAAAGTGCAGCTTGTGGTTCCGGCCAGGCCCACACACTGTGCCTGGCAAACAGGAATGCTGCATGGGAGTTATTAAATATGCTTTCCCTGACTAATGCTTTTTTTATTTTTTATTTTTTTAACTCAACAAAGAGAAACCAAAAAGTGGCTATTGTGTCCCACAATTTTCCTTAAGCTTTCTCAAGAACAAAACAGGAGAAAACGGCAGTTCCTAGTGAGAATTTAACTGCTATAGTTGGCCTCTTTCATTTCCTTATTAACTTGGGAACATTTTTCCTTCCATTCATCTTTTCTTAAATACGACTGTAGAACAAAATTTAGATTAAGGCAGGGCTGCAGTTCTACATAGATCCAAAAGATAGTAACAAGTCAGCCCAAAATGGCAACAGAGCTGGGCAAGAAGCTCTCCCAGCACCTGAAGCACGAGGATGTAGCTAGAAGGGATAAGGCTGTGATCCTCATGCATCTAAAGAAGAGTTGTCTAAAAACCTGTGAATTACTGCAGTTGGGTTGCACTGCTCATGAGTGGGGGCTTGTTGCGTTGCTTCCCTTCATTTGGGAAGGCGACTTCAGTGTCAAGAGAAAAGGTAGCATTGATTAGTTCTGTTTTCCTGAAAAATACAACTTCAGTCATCTGTTCCAAAATGGGAGTCATTCCCTCTCGCCAGCCTTTCACAGCTTAGATTATACTGAAACCCATTTCCCTTTCTTCCTTTTGTGGATGCATAATGGGGTCCATGTCTTTCAACTTTTTTTTTTTCCAATACAGAATGCTTGATATACCTATGCTAGTAAAAACAGGACTTCCAATTCGCTTCTCCACCATAAGAAGCGTAACTGTTTACGTCAGCTTCTCTGAAAAGATCCTCCAATTGGGAATATCTTGCTACAGTAGATCTGCAGCTTCTGTGAAGCAGGGATCAAGTGGGAACTAATTACGCTGCCATCAGGGAGTCCGAGATAGGATCTGTTTCCTTCTAACTGCATTACAATCCACTGCAATCCACAGGTGTTGTTTTTAGCAAAATTTTTAAATGAAATCTTAGCCAGTTTGTCTTACGGTAGGATTCTAACACAAGAACAGTGTTCCGGTGAGATTCCTCTGCTGTAGAGGGAAACAGGCACCAAGTGTCCTCGACATGTGCAAAGCCAAAGAAGTAGGGAGGAAATTTTTTGTGATGGCCAGCTAATCAATCCCCTGGATACACTGGTCTCATTCGTGTGTGCTGTGTTCTGCTGTGTAGATTATGGTGTGCACAAGTGGTTGGATATTGGAACAAGATCAGAGGAGAAGGCAATACCTGTGTGCAGGGGGCAGCAAGAACCTGCTCCAGCAGGTCCTTGCCCTGGGCTCTCACAGGATCTGACCTATGCAGTGTGTAATCGAATAAAACATCAGGTGCAGGAGCATCAGCTTCTCGGTGCAAACCACCCATCAGATGGCCACGAACCACCAACACTATCCTGAAAAGGCTAGAGTCAGAATTGGAGTCACCCTAGACATTAGTCAGTCAGTTACCAGAGAGCAATTATAAAAGCACAAAACCCACATGCTTCAGTAATCCAGTACTTAAAGAGAAAAAGAACCTACCTGTTTGTTTCTAGGACAAACTGAAACCCTTAAATGCAGCAGGAAATACTTGGCCTAGGAAGTTAGTAACAATGTGGAATCCAACTTCCTCAGGTTGCTTGTGGCAAAACATCTATCTTGAGGTGGTGGGAGCTTGCTTTTTGTTTTTTGTTTTTGTTTTTTGGATGATGATTAGTTTAAATATGAGCAATTATAGAAGAAAAGTTTCAGCTAAACAGTATTTATATTGAGATTGCATCTACCGACTGACAAAATAAGACTTTGAGAATCAAATCTCCTCAAGAGATACAACTTAAGCTCTTATTGCTTGAAAAAACTCACTGTCTGAAATCATGTGTGCCTAGTCATAGTAGGTGACATAACTTTCTATTATTTTATGGGAAATGTTTAAATGTAAAGAATATGTCACATCAGAGGATCATAACATCTGTTTTGACAAGCAAGTTTTGTGGGTCTGTGGTGTTGCAGCTCTTAGGAGAGTAATCCTTGTAGCAAGGGGTGCTTCCATTGCTTTAGCTTTATTGCAGCTGGGCTCAAGGAGAGAAATCAGTAAAGTAACAAAGCAACATTAAAAAAAAAAAAGTTTGACAGATTTGAGAAATTTGATCTATGTCAAGTGATGTTTACTGTGGTAAACTGTTGTAAAAGTATTCAGCACTCAGTTACTTTTGGCACAGGTAGAGGAGGTTCTTTGTAATTTGACTGGCACTCTGAATTTTAATTTCCACCTGCCTTAATATGTGTGTGAAGTCTGAATATGTGTCAGGGGTCTTTGAATGGCACCAAAAAGCAGGGAGCGTGTCCCAGTGACAGATGTTGAAGTCAGAAGGACTAGGATGAGATGGAAAGGCCCCCGAGGATTTGTCCCTAACTTGACTCCTGTCAAACTGTCTCCCTGACAAGGATGTTTTTTCCTGCAGTTGTAAGCACGCAGTCCCCAGGGCCGGGAGGCTTTTCATCGTCGCTGCCTTGCGAAGGGGAAGCTCTTGGCCGCGTGCCCGGCGGGGCCGCGCGCAGGGTGGCGTGCGGGGCCGTGGAAGGGGGCCAGCGTGCCCTTTAGCCTGGCCCTGCTCCGCTCACGTTTGTCCTGTCGTGATAAGGATGGGCAGTGCTTCCTTGTACCAGCGCTGCTCCAGGCCCTGCCGGGGCTCCTGTGGCCGTGGCGAGACCCCTTGGCCTAGGGAGCTACCGTTTCAATCGGGAAATAGATGAGGATGGAAACAGATTTTTTTTGTTCTTTAGTGCATGTTCTCTAAATAACCCACTGAATCCAGTTTTCAATGTACTTGGCCATTTAAAAGGACCCCAACTATATACTTACTAGTATTTAAACCACTCCAATGGTGTGCTAAGAAATGTGTCATCACTGTGGAGAAAATGTTCATTTATCTAATAGTTGTTAAGTCAAAAAGTTGTCATTAATGGCATCTAGATTTTTACCTCCTCAGAGTTTGGGGCAGCTGACTATGTCAGTGAAGGAGTACCCAACAAATATGATACAGAGTATGTATAAAACACCGAAATGCTGGTGCAGGTCAGTCAGTTGTACTGACGCTGTACTGTCAGTTGTCTTTCCTCCTCCTGTCTATCTGTGTATACCCACACCTTTACTGTGCCCTACAAATTTTTATGCAGCCTTGTAAGTTAGTTTGTCCTGGCCTATCGCTTATATCCCCCCATCAGATTTGTGTGGGCAACTGCTTCTTAATGCAGGGAACCCATAAACAGAACTGAGAGGGTCGGGTCTAGTGCAGGTGCAAAGGCTGCATCTTCTGACGCAGCACCTCTGAAGAGGTTAAGTTTCCGTTATATAGAGCAAGATGTGAAATCTAAATTCCATCTTGCTTTCTAGACATCTGAAGTGAGATGTTGTGTGGAGGCTCAGCACTGGTTTCCCCCCTCACCCTCTGCCAAGTGATGTTTTTTTCTCTTCAGAAACTGAAAGAACTGCCTTAGAAAAATAATATACCTATCTATACAGATATCTCTCTTCTTGATGTTTGTCTTATTTTTCTTTCATTATGTTAGTGCAGTTATATTGTTGTAAATATTTTTACTAAGAATAGTGTATAAATAACAAAATTCTTATAAATCGGTTAAGGTACATTGCTGTTTTTCATTGCTGTTTTTCATTGCACAACTGTTTAAAACTATGAACTATTGGAAAGTATTATTTTTAGATATATGCTTAAGCAGTTTCTAGGATTTTTTTCACTGAAATAGGAGAAAACATAAAGGACCCTGCTTTCCATTTACACAACCTATTTCTAGAATGAACACAAGTGAAACTTTACTGCCCATTTGGCTGGTAAATTAACAAATGAAAAGAAATAGCTCCCTCTATAGTCTCTCTTACCACATTACAAGTAAAAGTCAAAAATAATTGTTGCCCAATTTGTTTGTATATTTTTATGGAATTGGAAAAGCAGGTATTTTCAAATGATTGCTGTTGTATTACGTTTGAGAGCAATATGTGTGTGCTGGCATTTGAGAGCTTAGTGTTTAACTTAACATGAATATCCAGGCCTCTCACAATACTGATATGCAAAGAAACAGTCCTATTGTTTTTGCGTTTAATGTTATTCTCTGTTTTGTTTCAGGATATTGCCATATGGTTGTTTAGCAACTGGAGATCACTCTGGCCTTATAGAGGCTGTTTCTAGTTCAGAAACCATTGCTGACATTCAGTTAAATAGTAGCAATGTTGCTGCTGCTGCTGCCTTCAACAAGGATGCTCTCTTAAACTGGCTGAAGGAATACAATTTAGGGTAATTAATGCAATACTTACCTGTACAAATTTCCCTGGTGCTTGAGGCATGTGCAGTCTTGCTCAGGTTCAGATTGCCTGTGGAATTTAAACAATAACCCAGCCCTAAATGCTGAAGGACTCTAGAAAACTAAACAGGTCTCATGTCTTGATGCTATTGTCTCTAATATTTTCATTTCCCTCATAATTCCATGGCTATTTTTTATATTATTATTTCTTCGTTATATTTATTTTATTATTATTTTCTCTCAAATAAGTTTTTTTTCAACACCCCAGTGAGCTTCTGGTTCAAGCAAACAACATGTTTTTTTTCATGTCAAGACATGAGATGGATAACCAATAATCTGCACCAATTTTTGTCTTTGTATTTTTAGAGAGGACTTGGATCGAGCCATTGAAGAATTCACTCTGTCTTGTGCTGGCTACTGTGTAGCTACTTATGTTCTGGGGATCGGTGACAGACACAGTGACAATATCATGGTCAGAAAAAATGGTCAGGTAAAAAACCTGTTAGTCACTAAAATAACTACAATATCTTGTGTTTTTGGTTTTTATTTTTATTTTATTTTTTTGTCTCCGTAAAATCAAATCTAAATCTAAGTTAGTTTGAAAAAACTGCCCTTAAAATTGGCTTCAGTTCTCAGTAAATAGAAGATTGAAATCCAAGAGACCAGTGGAAAGAATAACAAAAATGTGTTTCATAAGAGGTGTAGCTTAGACTCTTAGACTGTTGCATATAATAGACTTTATTGGTTGCACTATATGTATCTTTATTATTAGGTTTAATATTGTTTATAAGAAGCATTTCAAATTAATAGACTGTTGCAGATTAGGATATTAGATAGATGAGGTGGTTCTATAAAACCTACTGTTTCAGACCATCCCAAAGACCTGGTAGTGCTCTGATTAATTGAGTAAAACTCATAAGCTGAGATCCTGAAAGGGTTGAACCTCTGTATGAATTGCAGTTTGGAACAGCACTGTTTCCCTAAAGACAGGCTCTACTCTCAGCTCTGCAGAGCTTTAAGTAGGCAACTGACTTGGTAACAATTTAGCTTTGTGACTCAAAACCTGGAACTAAGGTAATATATTTTCCTTTTAATTGTTTCTTTTCATTTTATTTGTCAGATATTAGTGAAATTATTTTGCCCATAAAATGCTTCCTGACTAGGTTATTAAAAAATACAAATATATATATGTGTGTGTGTGTGTGTATATATATTTATATGTAGTTAGATAGATTTGCTTGCCATCTTCTTATCCATGTCACTGTTCTTTTGTCAGCTAAGTTTTTACCTACTGGAAAAAAAAGGTTAATATGCCTTTCTCTCTGATTCTGAAATGAGGGAACTGTCGCAGATTCCTTGAGATTAACAGGAATTCCTACTAGCTTTGCTTGTGACTTTACAGGAAGCCTTTGGATATTGTGATATTGAGCCTTACAAGCTCAGCGGTGGGCTCAGGGTTTTTTTGGTCTCATGTTACCAGTATGATGTCTGTTGGTAGACAGAAATTTGAAAGTGAGGTTTTCTTTTCCACCTTGCTTTGTAGCAGCAGTTACTCATAAAAGTCTGGATCTTTTCCCTGACTTAAAAAAATACATTTTGAAACATTGTAAAACTACATACTTCCGAAGAGTTGCATCTTGTGCAAGCACCTGCTGAAACTAGTAGTGTTAAGAATTAGCTGCTGTTGATAATAAATAAATAAATAAAATAAAATAAAAAACCTTTACAGATATTATAAGAGAGAAATACTTCACTGGAGAAACTAATATTCACATCTGCTTTTTAGCTCTTTCATATAGATTTTGGGCATATTCTTGGAAACTTCAAGTCCAAATTTGGAATTAAAAGGGAACGGGTACCTTTCATTCTCACCTATGATTTCATTCATGTCATTCAACAAGGAAAAACAGGGAACACAGAAAAATTTGGTCGGTGAGTATTATTTACCTTTTTTTTTTTTTCTTTTGTAACTGAGTTTATCTTTTATTTCCAAGTCTGCTTTCGTTGCTCTCTTCTATATGCGTCAAGTGTGCTAATGTATGTTTACAATACTTTCTAATTTCGTACCTGAGATAGAGCCAAATGCCTTTGTACCTCATAAACTCCTTTCTGGGGAGGGACTCCACAGAATATTGTTCAAGCAAGCTGAAGCACTAGACTTAATCAACAGGTTGGGAAGTGGCTGGATATATTTATGTTGGTTGTGTAGTTTCTCATGCCTTGTGCCCCTTGTGTGTGTTTTGTCATTGCTTTTAAAGGTTCCGGCAGTGTTGCGAAGATGCTTACTTGATTCTGCGGAAACATGGGAACCTATTTATTACACTGTTTGCACTGATGTTAACTGCAGGGCTTCCAGAGCTAACTTCTGTCAAGGACATTCAGTATCTCAAGGTAAAAATAAGATTTATAGCCCTTCAGAACATCATGTTTTATCCAGAATGTGAATTCCGAGTCAAAGGGAAATAAAGTTTATTTGTTGCCCTAGGCTAGTTCTCCCAGGATTTCCATGTAGGTCTAAAGGATTTCTTTTTCAGCACTGTAGAGCTAAGTCAGTACTCTGTCCTAGGTATCAAAGGAAGCTCTAAATGTGCCTTCCTCTCAACCATCTTTTAAGGAGTGCAGTGTTCCTGCATCTTATGTGTAGTCGGTCCAGGGGTGTTTTACCTGACAGCTCAATGCAGGAGCACAGAACTGTAAGGAAGAAAATGGTTTGCTTAATTTGGATCCAGAAATAAGTCGTAAAAAGCAATCTGTGGATTAACAGCTTCATGGCAAGTGAAAGATCTAGTGAGGTTTTTGGACCAAGAGAGCAGGATAGAATGTTGCGACTTGAGCAACTCATGGAAAAATTTGCAGAGACCGTCTTCAGATTACCTTAATCTGACGAGTTATCATCTGTATGTGTCATTTTGCTCATCATTACAGGCTGCTGAACTGCAGACTGTTAGCATGTTCATCTCAGTGTTTTCAGTAAATGTTAGCTGGTGACTAAAAAACAATTTCAAAACAACCTCTGATTCATCTGCTTTCCTTTTCAGTTTTATCTTTAAACCCAGAAGCTACTGCTAATGTATTCATAAATGAATAATAGGAAAAAGACCCAAAATAGAAAAAAGCACAGTGTGATTTGTGTTAAGATCTAGAAGGCAGCAGTAACTGTGGGTTTAAAATTTCTAATAGTATTTGTTTTCTTGCTGTCTTAGGACTCTCTCGCCTTAGGAAAAAGTGAAGAAGAAGCACTAAAACAATTTAAGCAAAAGTTTGATGAAGCGCTCCGGGAAAGTTGGACTACTAAAGTGAATTGGATGGCTCACACTGTTCGAAAAGATTACAGATCCTAGAAGACATTTGGGAATTGCACTAATCTGAATGTTACCTTGATAAGTGTTTTTTAAAAGGGATCTGTAACCTGGACCAACAAAACTTATTTAAAATAAGAAAGACAACAAAAGAGCAACACAAAGAGATGGCCTGAAATAATTCCTGATTCTTTTGCATTCTGCTTGTGAATGCTTGATCCCAAGACTTTCCATACAGATAGTAAACATCCTGGATAATCAGTTCCTGCTGAAAAAAATTGGTACTTTTCAGGAGGTGTAAATATTTGTTTTACATGTTAGGGTAATATACTCTAACACACTCAAGAGGTTTAAAGACCTTTGAAAGACTCATTTTTTTGTTTCAAAATTGGGACTTGAAAGAAGAGTAAAAATTTTTCTTCATATCCTAATCTAGCTAATAATGGCCATATTGTGTGTATTTTTCATATGAATTCTGCCATACTGGCACAGAGGCATTAATTCTACTGTAAATAGCAACCACAGTATCGTTGTACTACAGGGAGCTGCTTAATGTCTTACACTGCTGCCAAAAGAAGAGTAGACAGGTATGGGTGAAATAGGAGCAGGGGGGATGTCTTCCAAAATAATGCAGCGTGCAAGTGCTCAGAATTGCCCAATTTTGTTTCCCTGACATCCAACACATGCCCTTTAGTCAGAGGGAAGTTAGGCAAATTCCAAACACGTCCAAAAACCCCTGCGAGGAAATGTTTTCTCCTTCAGCCTCTAGGGCTTTGTTGTCAGCTCCCATAAGAGGCAGATGTGTTTGGTGTCCAGCGAGGAGCTCCTTAAAGCCTGACGTGAAAATTCGTATCTCAGATTAGTTGTGCCATGCAGATCTACTGAGTTATGAATACGTGTGGGAAATTTTACACAAATATTATTGCACATAGTGATTATTAGAGCACATGTACCAAAAACAGAAGTGTTTGGGAAAGTGAGTGTTTATAGTAAAAGATTTAGCCATAAGACACCAATGAGAACTCATTAAACTTTTCTTTCTGTATTTATTAAAATTTGCAATAATATTACTTTACAAAGATAACTCTGTTTAAGGTGGTTGCTGAAGAAACTGGATTTGTTTTAATTTATTCTGTGAGGTACCAGGCCTTTAGGTGCTTAAATGGAGAGCAAATTTGTTACGTGCAATAGGAACTGCTGGTTAAAAGATGTAACATACTGTTTCTGAACATCAGCAAAACAGACTTTAACTACTGCTTGTTCTCCAAAGAACACTGGTAGCTCTCAATTCTTGTTGATATCTGAAAGAAAATGGAACATATATATTTACCTTTTGACTAAACTGTTGTTTTACATAGAAATTTTGTTTTATGTAGGAATTTAATTAAAGGTGGTTTTACTTTGTTCTGAGTGTGTTTTTTGTTTTGTTTTGTTTTGTTTTTGGTGTATTTGGAAGATCAAAGGCTTATCCGGCACCAAGACAGCAATATGCACACTATTTTGATTTTCCTGTGCTCACTCCTGGGGTTTATCTGTCTGAAAGACCTCTGCTTCTAGAATATTGTAAAAGGAACAAGTCCTTTAATTGTGTTACCTTGTTAATGATGTAGTAGCATTTAAAGTGTTCCATGTCCCTAATTTTTAGAAGCAAATGGGAGGAAGGGTACAAGGAAGCTACTTCACAGTTCTCAACTGCGAAAGTTGTCTCATATGCTCTGCTTACAGCATGTAGTGGTTTTTCTTCATGGAAACTGAATTCACATGGACTTCACACCACTCAGGGGATACAGACCCAGCAAGATTCTTTTTCCAGGTTGGCTTTTCAAGGAAGAACCTTGTGCTAAGCAGGTAACTCAAGTCATCTTGGGAAACGTCGCTTCAATTTAAAGTGGGGTAGAGGTTTGCTCAGTTATATTAGTAGATAACCATTTTCCCCAGGTCTGTGATTTGTACTACCTCTTGTAGCTTGCAGGTGTTTGAAAGAAGCAAAACTTTTTGGGGAAAAAGTAACAGGAAAGACAGTCTGTCCCCCACCAAGTAGTTGTCCAAGAAGAGAAAGCTGGAAATTTTATAGTATCAGTCCATTAGTTATTCTGTACTTATGAACCAGCACTGAGTTATAGTGTTAAAAAGGTAACTTAAGTTGTGCTGAGATAATGTTTTTCTTTCTTCAGAGCTGTTATTTCAGATGGTTTGCAGAATCCAGAAGATACCAGAGGATCATGATTACAGTGAGTAAAAACAATCTTTTTAAATAATACGAAAGCTTTGAAAAGGATGATTTTATACAACTGTAGAAAAAATAACCACAAGTTAACAGATAAGATATAAAACACTTTCAGATGGCATCACTGGAAATTGGATGTACGCAGTGTATATTATATATAGTTGTCTGTCTCACTCTTTTTGGTTACTTAATGGGTTTGCTTGTCTTAGCTCTTGCTATTTGTTTTGTGACAAATGAGGACAACTGCTGGCCTTCGATGCCTTGTTGTATCCTTGCTTTTCAAGGAAAAAGCTCTTACTGATTTGTGCCTCATCAGAGCAATTGCTTCCCTTTATCTTTTATTGCTTTTATCATAATTTTAGGTGGCAGTTGGGTGTTGATCATTGATGTTCCAATGAATGTCCATGACTGAGCTCACTAAGAATATTATAGAGCCAAATCTTCTTTAATTTCTTAGAGTTATTGAAAACAGATAATTAACTAGTACAGATTCTTTACATATTAGACTATGATCACAGCTTTCCAGTTATTCCTTAAGAATGACTTCAAGCCTAAATCTTCCAAGTATGTAACCAGCATTTCTATTTTACCCTTTTACAGTGCATTATATAAATATAATACACAAACACTGGAATTTTATGTCAGGGTGCTGCTTGGATAAGAAGTTGCATCCGGTTGGACTAGATGATCTCTAAAGGTCCCTTCCAACCTTAATGATTCTGTGATTATATTAATATAATTTTGTCTGAGATGACTTTAGAACTGAAGTGGAAGTCCTGTGCTCACAGCAGACATATGTGTGTGTTTCTGTAGCACATGGGCCTTGTCTGGCTGGGCTGACCAGGTAGGTAAAAGCCAACCTAAAGGCAAAGCAGAGGTTGAACTGCCTGACCAGGCCACCACACTCATCATCAGTAGATGTACCCTGAGGGTAAGGTTAGTAGTGAAATTGTTTCTGTAACTGCAATATCTCTGCAAAAGAGTCACAGTAAAATCATAATGGATACCAAGAAATTTAAGTGGACCTAGGAACTGCAGATCTTTGATCTCTTGCTTTCTCTGGGCAGAAAGCTACCTTTGCCTTTTCTTAGGAAACTCGTTTTAATTATGAAGGTGCAAAATCTCTTGAGCATGTCCTGTGGGAACAGCATGAATAACCTGTTGCCCACGTGTGGATCGTGTATGGAGCACAGCTAAATATCAGTTGCTTTCAGGCACTGCAGAGTCAGCAGAGCTGTATTCTTCAATTCGTGGGAGGTTGAGGCATTTTTACATTTAAAACTTTGTGGGTGTAAGGAATGAATGTGGCCTTAGGAAGATGGAATGGCATCCAAGATTTTAATAGCTAAAACAGGAAATACGTGATAATTTTAGCATTTCGTACTATGGAACAAACTTGAGGACCATACTGCTTATGCTACCACAGTGCATTATAAAAAATTGCTGTATCTGACTTGTAACAATCACGAAGAAGGTATGTTTCCCAGTGTTGTCTAGGGAATTTATTTACACTGCTCTTATTACTGTCTGTTCTTCAAATACTGTGGCAAAATAGTAATCACTGCTGGCGGAAATCAGAGAAAGTGTTTCCTTGCAATGAGTTAGGTTTGCATACTACTATTCTTAGATGCCTTTCCAACTTAATAACCTACTTCAGAAACTTAGCACTACATATTTACCATCTGTCCTCTAATAAAACACAAGGGAAGTGCTACCAGGCAGATGCTGGCATAAATTGTCTTGTTATGCCACCTCTAGAACATCTGGCTCAAGCTAGCTCACCTCTTCAACAGATTTTATTCTATTGCGCTATCAAATTTAGAGAGATGCTGTTGTGGTGAGTCAGTCCTTCATACCTCCAGCCTCTTGCTTGGGTTTCTCTCAGGCAATTAATTGGAGAAAAGTTTTCTCTGGAACTGCTTGACAAATTGGGATTTGGATGAGCACATTATTCCATGAATAATTGTGAAGTTTACTCTTGGGAAGTCTGTAAAAGATCACACTGCTGGTATTGCAGTTTCAGAGAAACATAAAAGGTTAATTCTAATTTACTAGGCACCATTTGGCTTTTATGAAGCAAATGAGCGGAAATGATAATTGGGCACCATGGAAACATGGTTTTGGAGGGATAATAACCCTTGTATTGCAAGGATGCTCATAGGGTCTATGTTTTGGCCTTAGAAGCCTGTGTTCCTCTCACTGAGGGTGCCCGGGAGCACCGAACCCAGCAGAGGCGAGGGACGAGGGCTTGGTTGGTTGCTGCTTCCGAGTCCCAGGCAAGACTTTCTCGTGCTTATCCCACCTGCCAGGCTGTGCCCTGGCAGCACTGCCTGAGCGTGCCTGCCCGCGCCAGGCAAGGAGCTCGGTCCTGCTTTCCCGTGGGAGAGACGCCGGCTCCGGGCTCATCCAGCGCCTTCCTCCACCCGTGGCCTCTAGGGCTGTGACAGAGTTTGGAGCATCCCTCTAGTGCCACCTCTGCCTACAGCTGTATGTTGGCTAGTGGCTTTGCTGCTGTCGTCATGGCTGCTGGGTCTGTCCCTCCATGGGCAGGGGGCAGGGGCAGATGTCCCAAGTAGCGTCTTCTACTAGCATGCTTAAATGGGAATCCCCTTTTAGTTAGTTTTGCAATTCATGGATCTTAAACCTGAAGGAGGCTTTGGTGAGTTGCTGTCATTACTGCTTCTCTTAGGGAGACATGCAGAGTAATAAGTTAGATGCTGAATGTCTATAGAAGTTAAGAAATTCCTGAAGAGAATGTGAATGTTCTGCAAATAGTATGGCTAGGGCAGCGTTTAGATACCCCACCTTTCCCAATCAATTTGCACACTCAAGTTGGTTTAAAAATAAAAACTTTAATATTCTGGACCACAGACAACATTAGAATATACCTACACAACCAAGTGTAATGCATCCCCTGGCTCCACATTTAAGATTCTCTTGCAGCACAAATAATGTAGTTCCATTAGAGAAAAAGGAAAACTCCTTGAAGCTGTAGCTGGAGCCATTCCTCCTCTTAGGAGCTGAAAACTTAGCTGATACTTATGA